ATATGTTTATTATGACTTTATTTTTAGTTGATTAGCTCTGTTGTTACTGGTCTTGGTCCTGCTTGTAAGTCGTCCCAAGTCCCTTCGGGGAGATGGTGGCAGGATATAAAAATAAAGTTGTTGTTATTGTCATTGTTTCTGGAGGTCAGTTATCAAAGTGGTGACATGAAAAGCACTGATGTATAAGTTTGGCAATGAAATGGAAGTAAGGAAGAAAACCATCCCTGGGTGTATTTTGGAAAAGGCCCTCAAGAATTCTCCAGAGTGATCAACATGTGATTGTTTACTTATGCAAGGATCCCTTAATGTGATTGTTTCATTCCATAGTTGTGAAAGTTAGCTGAAATAAGTTGAACTGCTTATTCTTTAATTTGTGTAGGAACCTCGTTCTATTATTTCTATTTCTAACTTTGGTACAAAAGTTTCTGTTTAAGAGGTAATGCAAAGGAGTGTGTCTACTTGGTTAATTGAGATATACTTGTTGTGAGAATGGCTATGTTGGAAGCAACACATTTCTTTATTTTCTACATTTTAAGCTCTTACCTTTGCAGACCAGAAAAAATTTATATGCATCTATCTGTTAAATGCTATTCGTTTTTCATGTCAGCACTTTGATAACTGACTTCCAGAAACAATTTAATTTAGCCCTCATCATCTGCTTCTGCAAAATGTGGAAAATACTGACTATATGATCTAATACAATTGAATACAATTGAACATTGGAAAGTCTTGTGAAGATAGAGGATTTTTTGAATACTCCATTTTCTAAGTTGCTTCATCAATCTCAAAAGGAAGCTTTAAGACAGATATTAAACAAAAGGTTTAATATCTGTCATTTATCCAAGCTATAGTTTTACTTCAACTTTAAAACACTCATCAAAACCTCTCATAAACAAGTGAAGTGTTCAGTGAGTTTAACTGAATTATATGCTACAAAGATTTCACAACCTCTTCCATACTTTGAACTAATCTTTGCAAGCATGAAGAATCACAAATAATGTATCCACTGCTAATTTTAAAAGTATAAGTTATTTATATCAACAATTAAGATGTTTTCAAATGCTAATTATAATTCCATCACTTGCTTTCAAAATTTCATATTGTGTATAGCTCAGCAAACTTCTAAAACTCTTGAAAATATTACAAGTATTATAGGTAGACAAAAGGACGATTTTCTTGATAATATTGATAAGAACGTACAGAACTGCTGGATGTTCACTCAAATAACATCAGTGCTTTTCAACCTGTGGATCCACAGGTGTTTTGGCCTACAACTCCCAGAAATCCGAGTCAGTTGAAGGCCAAAACATCTGGGGACCCACAGGTTGAGAACCACTGGTGTCAATGCACCCTTACAGTCTGCAGTCAATCAACGACCCAGCAAGTAGTAACAATATCTAACGCTTCTAGTGATCTAATGCCAAGAATTCAATTTTAGTAAATAGTCAGTGCAATTCTGCAGAGCTTTTATTCACCTTTCCAACCAGACCAGGGATTTGGAAACAACTGTACAAGCCTCCTCTTGCAAGAGCAAGTTTGAAAAAGAAGAAAGGGCATGCTGTATCATGCATCTATCTTCTCTCCCTCAAGCACATGCAAAGAACGCCATTCTTACCAACTGTTGAATAAATGCAATTGTGGGAGGGGGGGGAGTACTAGAGGGAAGAAATGGCAGCCCAAATGCATGCAAGCACAAGCACAGGCAGTCCAGCCCCCACCAGCAATAATTCTCTAAAAAGAAAACATTTGTCGGATGACAGGACATGCCACTGTCTATATTGCTAATCCCTTGTCCAGTCAGCAGGAGGAAGAGGAATCTGTTCCTCCCGCAATTTCAAACAACCACACAGCAGCCAGTTATCAAAAAATGGAAAGAAGAGTCAAATCACACCCCATTGTGAGGAAAGCCTCTACAAACAACCCACTCTTTCAACTTGTTAGTTTTGACTTTTTAAAGCAGGGCCGTACTATGATCCCAGCCATGCTGCACACAAACACACGCACGCAGCCTGTGACCACGTTTGTACCAAGCTAGGAATCACTGGCGCCATAGTGGACAAAGAAAGGCTCTTCAGCCCGTGCAACTTTTTTTTGGTTGAAGGGTTAATTGGTCCTTCTTAGAAACTATCTAAACTGAACTGAAACTGTCCTCCCATACAGGCTGTGGAACTCCCTCCCTAGGGATATTCGATCAGCCCCTTCCCTCCTGACCTTCCACAGAAAAGTGAAAACATGGCTTTTTGAGCAAGCCTTTGGGAACCTAGTGCAATAGATAAACATGGAACTATGTGAAATCGAATACTGGAATGGCTTAGACTATATTTTTTAGACAATGAGGCTAATAGTGTTTGATATGATTTTAAATGTTTTAATGTATGTATTTTACAATTCTGTTTGAAATTGCGATTTTATATTGTATTGTGTGTTTATTTTGTATTGCTTTTCATTATTTTCATTTTATCTTATTCATTTATTATTTTATGTTGTATATTTGCTTTGATGTAATTGTTGGGCTTGGGCTCATGTAAGCCGCCCCGAGTCACTTTGGGGAGATGGTGGCGGGGCGGGGTATAAATAAAGTTTTATTATTATTATATTACAATGTTTATTGTAATTTTTACATTGTTTTAAGGGCATTGAATAGCTGCCTATGTTGTAAAGCCGCCTTGAGTCACCTTTGGGTTTGAGAAAGGCGGGGTAGAAATGTTGTAAATAAATAAATAAATAAAATACATACTAGCTACAATTCCATGACAGATGGAGAAAATATTTTCATTTTATTTTATGAATGCATTATTTTATGTTGTATATTTGCTTTGATGTAATTGTTGGGCTTGGCCTCATGTAAGCCACCCCGAGTCCCCTTGGGGAGATGGTGTCGGGGTACAAAATATTATTATTATTATTATTGTAATTTTTACATTGTTTTAATGGCATCGAATAGTTGCCTATGTTGTAAAGCCGCCTTGAGTCACCTTCGGGTTTGAGAAAGGCGGGGTAGAAATAGCGTCAATAAACAAATAAATAAAGTACATACATATTAGCCACAGCTCCATGATAGATGGAGAAAATATTTTCATTTTATTTTATGGAGGCATTATTTTATGTTGTATATTTGCTTGGATGTAATTGTTGGGCTTGGCCTCATTTAAGGCACCCCGAGTTCCCTTGGGGAGATGGTGGCGGAGTATAAATAAAATATTATTATATTATAATATTTATTGTAATTTTTACATTGTTTTAATGGCATCGAAAAGCTGCCTGTGTTGTAAAGCCGCCTTGATTCACCTTCGGGTTCGAGAAAGTAGAAATATCGTAAATAAATAAAAGAATTACAAACATATTAGCCACAGTTCCATGATAGATGGAGAAAATATTTTCATTTTATTTTATCGAGGCATTATTTTATGTTGTATATTTGCTTGGATGTAATTGTTGGGCTTGGCCTCATTTAAGGCGCCCTGAGTCCCCTTGGGGAGATGGTGGCCGAGTATAAATAAAATATTATTATTATACTTTTATATTATAACACCAGAGGCACTCCCAAGTGGCGAGCTACTGGTCAAAAGACATTTAATGAGCTACCAAGCTTGCAAACTTTGTGTTTTGTTTGTCTGTTTGTTAAAATGCAATGCAACTGTTTGGTCTGCCCCTGACACAATAAATACATTATATTATACTGTTTATTGTAATTTTTACATTGTTTTAATGGCATCAAATAGCTGCCTATGTTGTAAAGCCGCCTTGAGTCATCTTCAGGTTTGAGAAAGGAAGGGTAGAAATATCGTAAATAAATAAAAGAAATAAATACATATTAGCCACAGTTCCAGGCATTKTTTTATGTTGTATATTTGCTTGGATGTAATTGTTGGGCTTGGRCTCATGTAAGCCGCCCCGAGTCCCCTTGAGAAGATGGTGGCGGAGTACAAATAAAATATTATTATTATATTATAATATTTATTGTAATTTTTACATTGTTTTAATGGCATCGAAAAGCTGTCTTTGTTGTAAAGCCGCCTTGAGTCACCTTTGGGTTTGGGGGGTATAAAAAAAGGCGCCCTGAGTCCCCTTGGGGAGATGGTGGCGGAGTATAAATAAAATATTATTATTATATTATAATATTTATTGTAATTTTTACATTGTTTTAATGGCATCAAAAAGCTGCCTGTGTTGTAAAGCCGCCTTGAGTCACCTTTGGGTTTCGGGGGGTATAAAAAAAAAGTTTTATTATCATTATATTATAATATTTATTGTAATTTTTACATTGTTTTAATGGCATCGAATAGCTGCCTATGTTGTAAAGCCGCCTTGAGTCATCTTCGGGTTCGAGAAAGGCGGGGTAGAAATATTGTAAATAAATAAAATAAATGCATATGTACACATTAGCCACAGTTCCATGATAGATGGAGAAAGAATGAGCCCCCCAAAAAACAACCACTCCCAGCAGAAGACTGGAAAAGCAGGTCTGCAGAATTAGAAATACAGGATGACTCATGTTTAAGACACTTTGCATCTCAATCAAAAGACAAAAGCGGGATATAAACAATTTAATAACAATGCAAGTACATTAATATTTGAAGGACTTTCTGGAGACAATATACTTATAATGGTGTTTCATTTGGAAGACTAATAATTGTATCTTATAGAAGAGGCATGGGCGAACTTGGGCCCTCCAGGTGTTTTGGACTCCAACTCCCACCATTCCTAACAGCCTCAGGCCCTGAAAGGGCCTGAGGCTGTTAGGAATGGTGGGAGTTGGAGTCCAAAACACCTGGAGGGCCCAAGTTCGCCCATGCCTCTTCTATACTAATGTATATATTCGAGGTCATTGCAAACAAACCAAACAACCTGAAAGACTACAATATTAATACTGCATTACACATTAATATTCTATAGAACTTTCAGCAGACAATATATTCATAAAGGGATAGGATTTGATCAAGATTACTAAGGATTGTATCTGGCATCCCTTTGGGGGGTGTGCGCCTTCTTCTGTTTACCTGACTGACGGCAAGCGAGGAGGTCAAAACGGCGAAAAGGAGGGCGCGCGGCGCTTCCCGTGCTGGAGCCGTTGGCCGCCTTTCGGGTTTGGTGGTGCGCGCGTGTCTGCCTGCGCGCGCGGCGCTTCTCTCTTCCTCCCTCAGCCAGGGGGCCCCTAAATGAAAGCCTCTGCCGCCGCCATGATGGAGGAGGGCAAAAAGAAGGCACGGCAAAGCCGGGCACGCCCGCACGCCCGCAGCGTCATGACGTCACACACCCCCTTAAAAAAATACCCTCAACAAGAGCTCTATAAAAAAAAGAAAGAGAGGAGTTGCAAAAAGTGTGGTCAGAAGTGAAAAGCACACTTTAAAAGATAGTTGATGGT